TTGAAGTTTAATTTTATTTACAAGATCCAGTTTCTTGAAAGATTTCAAGTTTCTCTATGTTAGTCCTGTCATCAGGGATTCATCAAATGTTTACATTTCTTTAAATCTGCATGAGAGGGTCCCCAATTTACTTTTTGCTACAAATGAAGATATTCAGAAGCATGGGATAGTTATAGAATTGAAGAATGAACCTCCTTAAAACTAAATTCTTTTTGAAGGGGATGATCTGTCATCATGTGACAGAAGTGGCATTAGACCATCAGATTTCTTGACACAGAATCTCTATCTAATTATATTAGCGTGTGTCTCAAGCTAGTCATTCACCAAGATAGTCAATAACATTGGTCCATCATACACCACTGATACAACCCACTAGAGTTCACCACTTCTCATTGGATCATTGAAAGAAATAATTTCAAGGATTGATGATTTTTGCTCAAACTTTCATTCATCAAAAAAAAAAACCCATTTATCAAGCACCTATGGTGTTAGAGCTAATACTGTAACAAGTACTGCAAAATATACATAAGGTCCCTGGCCTCATAGAACTTGCAGTCTAGTAAGAAAAGAAGACATATAAAATGGTAACTGTCATATTATACATGTTATACACTATACACTATCATAATACATGTTAAGTATATGAGAATTAGAAAACAAAGTGCTATATAAGGTCTTTACTAGCTAGAGGAAATCAGAGAAAGCATCCACAGGAAAAAAAAAGGTGGCATTTAAATTAGGTTGTCAAAGATGGGTAGGAAATTTAACAGGCAAGAAAGGGGAAGTAGGGAAATCCAGACATGAAGAAAAATGTATGCAAAGGCATGGGGATAGCAGAACATGAAGCATATTTGTTTGTGGAATAGAAATTAGTCCAGTTTGTAGGAGACATAAAGTGTGTGCCTACGTGTACCAGAACAACCTCTTCTCAACTCGAGAAGGCTGATTGTTAAATTCTCAATGTGAGCATTTACACTTTGAAAATCAGCAATTACTACAAATCACAGCTTGATTTATTGTGTTGCTGATTATCTAGACTTAAGAAGTAGTGAAGAAAATTGTTAGTAATGCAGATTAAACTTTAAAGTGTGTCAAATGGGTTTAGGAGAGCCAATCAGGGAATCAATAAACATTTAAGTGCCTACTGCGTGCCAGTCATTGACTTAAGTGCTAGGGATACAAAAAGAGGCAAAAGATAGTCCCTGCCCTCAGGGAGCTTACAGTCTAAAATGGGGGAGACAGGATACAACCAAATAAATACAAAGCAAGCTTTATACAGGATAAATAGGAAATAATTAACAGAGGGAAGGCACTGAAATTAAGAGGGGTTGGTGAAGGCTATCTATAGAAGACGAGATTTGATTTGGGACTTAAAGGAAGTCAAGGAGCTCAGAGCAGAGGGAAAATGCATTCCAGGTCTGGAGGACAGCCAGAAAAAAAAATGACCAGAGCCAAGAGATTGAGTGACTTGTTCATAGAAGAGCCAGTTGTCAAACATTTACCAGCACACCACTTGTAGAGGGGAATTATGTAAGATTATAATAATAGCATTGTGGCACTAATTCTGGAGGATCTTGAATGTCAACAAAAGTTTGGACTTTATTCAGTAAGCAATGAGGAGTCAAAAAAAATTTTTTTGAGCTGATCCATGGGTAACAAAAGATCTTTAAAAAAGAGTATTTGAGGGTAAGAAAATCATGGAAATGGGAAGACCTATTAGGAAGTTTTTATAGTATAAGAGGACGTTGATGAGTCTGTACTAGTTTGGAGTCAATGAGAGTAGAAAGAGGAAGAATCCTGGAGATGGTGACAGTTCCTACTAAAAAAGGTTAACATGGGAGCTTTAACTTTTTACATGGTGAAAGGATAATATCCACTAGAGCTTCAGAATTTAGAAAAAATGTGAATGGGAATGCAGCACAAATTCTTTTAGATCTGGCCCAAAGACAGAATTGCACAAATGAGCCTTTCAGCAAAAAGTTTCAAATCAGTCAAAGCAATTCTGGAAGAAAAAAAAGTAATGCCCAAACAGCTGGAGAGTTCCTAAGACTCTTGAACTTCAATGGTTCAAATCCATCCTACCATCCTTTCATCCATGACTTCTGAATTGTACAGGATGCTCTAGCATTCTCTTGAACTTTTAATATTATTGTGAGCTACCCAAGGGCATGTCCAGGAGCCTCTTCTTTTCTTAATGGGAAAGACTCTTAATCATTTTCTATTAGGAGATCAAGACAACCATGATAATATTAATGAAGATTTTACTGGACTGTTGGAAGAAGGTAGGACATTTTTAGGTAGAAGCTGATGACAGGGAAGCTCTAGGGATTTGGGAGTATACTTAAAGAGGTGTCATTGAAGCAAAGAGAAGGAGTCAGAATAACAGGCTTTTTTTTCCTGCTGCTGCTTTCTTTTCTGGCCTCAGTAAAGAGTGTAGTGAAGCCTAGGAAAACAATGGTTTTAGAAGAACACTTCTAGCCATAAAGCTCATGAAATGACAAGGTTTAGGTGCAGAAGGTGATGCCTATCTTTGAATAGTTAAAGAGCTATCACAAAGAAAGGGAATCAGAGTTATTCTACATCTCTCCTCAGCAGGGAGAACTAGGGCCAATACATAGACATCACAAGGAGATGCAATATAAGTATGGAGGAGGCAGAATGGACCTTTGGGAGGCCTCCAAGGACATGGTGATGCATTGCTTGGGCTTTGGGGGGCGGGGAGAGGATGAAAACCTCCCACGTTACTTCTGTGGACTCCATTACCTCTCCCTACATGGAGCATGGCCTCAACTAGTGTTTATACCTGGGACCCTTGAGCAGAGTTCTACTTTTTCTGTGTTTCTTCTTTCCTAATCTTAGGCAAATTAGTACCTCAAGGATCTTTTAAGTTTAAAAGATGTTCAATGGTCCTAACCAATGAGTGTGAGAAAAGGGAGCCCTCTCTCACTAGAGGTCAAGCTCCCCAGGATTAAATCTGGCCTAGCCACATGGTTTGGTATATGATGGGGAGAGTCAGGTACCCTAGCCCCTGTGGGCTCAGCAGCAGTATTAGATAAGAAAGAACTTATCAATTCGAGCCATCCATTTTTTGTATTACCTTATGAAGGCTGAGGTCTGTATGACTCAAGTTAGCACAAGATTGCTGACAGCATATACATGCGAAATATTTAGTAAATGTTTCTTGAATTGATTTTAATGTTGTAGTAGTGGTATTTGATGAAACCATCCTAAGTTCACTTCTAATTCTTAAGTCCTCTGACCTCTCATTACTAGAACACAGGTGACTCATATGTGCTGATGATCCAATGTTGGATTTTTATGATCCTTTGAAAATTCAGCTGAAATAAATTGTGATGCATGAATAGAGGATACTGTTACTGTGCTAGAAGAAACGTGAATTTGAAGAATACAGAGAAGCATGGTAAAACTTATATGAACTGATACAAGTGAAATAAGCAGAACACAGTGGGGGAGGGGAGAGGGGAAATCCACAGTGACTATAACAAGGCAAATGGAAAAAAAAAACAATAAAAATAAAAAGCTGAAGGATGTGTAATTATATCCAAGCTTGACCCTGAGGAACAGAGGAGAAAATACACCTCCCTTTCTTTTTTGACTGATGAATTGCTAAATAATTTATGGAATTATGAAATGGGGCAGGCACATGTGGTTCTTTGAGTACTCACTGGGAAAGACCACAGTGGCAGTGGGAAATTAGGCAGCACACACACTTTAATAAGATACAGAGGGTGAAAGGGAAAACGGGCACAGAAAGTACAGAGACAAGCAGTGAAAGGGATACAGAGGCAGATGGTGTGGAGATGGGGATGGAATGGTGAAGGAAGGCAGGCAGCAATAGGAAACAGGATGGGAGAAAAAGTAACACAGATAATCACCCATGAAACCACAGGTAAAAACTGCGAGCATTCAATAGTATGGACACAGATGGAGATCAAAGAATGCTTAGGAGGAAAGGGTTTGGAGTCTCGTTTTTATAGTTTTGATGGGGGACATACTTTTATCTGTGCCACCCTGAGGTTCATTCATTAACATACTCAAATCTTCTCAAAGTTGTTGGTAAAACATTAAAGTTAACATATCTACATCATCTCAAGGTTATTAGCATCATTTGGAGTTGTCTGGTCTTCTGGGAACTAGTTACAGATTTACAAATCATAGCAACAAAAGGTCCCAACAGCAAAGTCAAGATGGCATCCCCTGATTCGACGTATATTGCCAGGATGTGACTTTTGGTTGATATGTGATATGATTTGTAAATTATACCCCTGTGATATTTGGGACAGTTTGTATGTGACTTCTAGGTTCCCCTTTGCAACTTGACTTCAGGCTATTGCTACTTTATACTGGCTAACTTACAATGCTGACTAGAAGAGGGTAAAGGATGGTCAGGAGGACCAAAACAAGATATAAATTTAACACAGCTGATGGATCAGTTTTACTGAACTCTTCCTTCCCCCCATCCCCAACCCTTTTTTAATTCTATGTTACCAGGGATGACTCTCCAGTAGGGAAGCATTAAGGGATATATTTAGAAATGAAAACTGTATAAGACAAAGAATATCAATAAAAAATTAAGTTTCCAGGGGCAGCTAGGTGGCACAGTGGATAGAGCACTGGCCCTGGATTCAGGAGGACCTGAGTTCAAATCCAGCCTCAGACACATAACACTTACTAGCTGTGTGACCCTGGGCAAGTCACTTAACCCCATTGCCTAACCAAATTTAAAAAAAAAGAAGAAGAAAAAATTAAGTTTCCCAGCAACAAAAGGAAAAGATGCACCACTTTCAAAAATAAACAACCTAGACTGATAGAACCTGACTACCAATGACATATTGTGTGAAGAAAAGTAAATAGTTCAGATCCAAGTGTCCAACAGAACATGAAAATTTTCCAAGATGGTGCTACAGGGTAACTCTATCTTCCCACAGGAAAAATGCTTAAACTTCCCTAAACAAGTATGAAAGAAACTGTTACCATACCTTCAATATGTGTTTGTTGGATTCTCTGTCATCAGGTGAAACGTACAAACGGATGAACACAGAGTTACTGTATTGTCCACGGAATACCGCAAGGGTCTGAAGGAGGCTGAACTTCCTTTCTGACCACACGCCTTCTGGACCAATGTTAGATTCTAACACAGGCCAGCGGAAAGGGGAGTGCCTCAATATGTGTAACAGTGGCTTAGCATCAGCTTTCTCTATCGCTTCTGGAAGGGAAAGAAGGTACAAAGAAACCAAGCCAGAGTTGTTGGTTTGTTCTCTTAAGAGGAAAAGCACTAATTATTTGACTTTAATCCATTTACTACCAGGGCATTAGAGCCTGGAATCTCAGGCTTAGATCTCAGATAAGTTTTAGCTAGAAAAATGCTTATTACTTCAGAAGAATAGGCTTTGACTTGTACTTAATGTAATCATAATTCATGTCATTTACACCAAGAGAGATGCCTGGGGAAACTGCCTCCCTTAAAAATATCCCAATGCTCCAATACTCAATGGATCTCTTCAATGTAGGTATTGCCTCCAATGGTGCAGATTGTAATCCATCTACATCTGCCCATTCTATGCAACTCACCCTTCTCTGTGTGCTCCAAAAGATTTGCTATAGTGGAGCAAGGAAATAAAGTAAAATAGGGGACAACTCCTAAAAATAAAAAACTTTTTTCCTCTTCCAAAAATATTCAGGACCATATAATGATCTCTACCTAAATAAAATGCTGGATCACATCAGGAGACAGTACTATACTAAACGAACCATACCAAAGGAATAAATTGCTCATTTCATGTATTATAAATGCTCATTAATTTTTTTTGAAGCTTAATTCTTAATTAATGACCATTTATTTTCTCTCCTTCCAACCTCCTCTACCTCACCTCTTGATATTGGGGGGGGGGGAGAAGAAGAAAAACAAAAAGACATAGACAAGCAAAACCACTGTTTTGTTATTGATGTGATCTATTACGCTGATAGTGTTCTTAATATTGAACCAGTCCTGTACTGTCATATGAATCCCATCTGATCACAGTATATGATCTTGGTTATATATTGCTGTAAATTCCTTGCTGGTATTTTATTTAAAATTATTGCATCAATACCAATTAGAAAAATCGGTCAATAGTTTTCTTTCTCTGTTTTTACTCTTCCTGGTTTAGGTATGAGCACCATATTTGTATCATAAAAAGAATCTGGTAGGACATCTTCTTTGCCTATTTTTCCAAATAGTTTATATAGTAGTGGAATTAATTGTTCTTTAAAAGTTTGGTAGAATTCACTTGTGAATCTATCAGGTCTTAAGGATTTATTCATAGAGAGCTCATTTATGGCTTGTTCAATTTATTTATCTAAGACAGAATTATTTTTCTATTTCCCCTTCTGTTAATCCAGACAATTTGTATTTTTGTAAATATTCATCCATTTCATGTAGATTGTTAGATGTATTGGTATAAACTTGGGCAAAATAGCTCCTAATAATCTGTTTTAATTTTATCTTCATTGGTGGTGAATTTATCCTTTTCATTTTTTATACTGGTAATTTAGTTTTCTTCTTTCTTTTTTTAATCAAATTAACCAATGGTTTATCTATTTTACTAGTTTTTTTTTTAACAAAACCAGCTCTTGGTTTTACTTGTTAGTTCAATGATTTTCTTACTTTCCATTTTATTAATATTTCCTTTGATTTTCAGGATTTCCAGTTAGGTGTTTAATTGGGGATTTTAAATTTGTTCTTTTTTTTTTTAACTTTTTAGTTGCATGTCTAATTCATTGATCTACTCTTTCTCTATTTTATTGATCTAAGTATTTAGAGATATAAATTTTCCCTTAAGTACTGCTTTGGCTGAATCCCATAAATTTTAGTATATTGTCTCATTGTTGTCATTCTCTTTAATGAAATTATTGATTCTTTCTATGATTTGTTCTTTGACTCACTCATTCTTTATGACTTGATTATTTAGTTTCCAATTAATTTTTAATCTTTATTTCCACAGCCCTTTATTAAATGTAATTTTTACTGCATTATGGTTTTTTAAAGATGCATTTAATAATTCTGCTTTTCTGCATTTGGTTGCGAGGTTTTTATGCCCTAATACATCATCAATTTTTGGGAGAGTGCTATATACAGCTGAGAAAAAGGTATACTCCTTTGTCTTTTCATTCCATTTTCTCCAAAGGTCTATATCTAACTTTTCTAAAGTTTTATTAATCTCTTTACCTTTTTCTTTTTTATTTTATGGTTAGGTTTATCTAGTTCTGAGAGAAGAAAACTGGGGTCCCCCACTAGTACAGTTTTACTATTTCCTGCTGTACTCTTTTAACTTTTCCTTTAAGAATCTATATGCTACATCATTCAATACATATATGTTTAGTATTGATATTACTTCATTGCCTATGATACCTTTTAGCAAAATGTAGTTTCCCTGATTATCTCTTTAATTAGGTCTGATTTTGCTTTTGCTTAATCTGAGATCATGATTGCTACCCCTGGTTTGTTGTTGTTGTTGTATTTTTACATTGGCTAAAGTATAATAGATTCTGCTTCAGCTATTTATTTTTACTCTGTGTGCCTCTGCTTCAAGTGTGTTTCTTGTAAACAACGTATTATTGGATTCTGTTCTTTAATCCATTCTGCTATGCATTTCCATTTTATGGGTGAGTTCATCCCATTAATATTCACAGTTATGATTACTGTGTATTTCCCTCCACTCTGTTTTTTCTCTGTTTTTCCTTCTCTGTCCCTTCTCAAAAGTCTGTTTTGCTTTTCACAACTGCCTCCTTTAATCCACCTGTCCTTCTCTTAGCACCTCCCTTTATCCCTTTCTCTTCCTACTTCCCTGTAAGGTAAGATAGATTTCTGTACCTAATGGAGTGTATATGTTATCCCCCCTTTGAGCCAATTCCAATGAGAATTCAAGCATTGCCTGCACCACCTCACTATCTGCCCCTCCAACCTATAAGGTCTTCCTTTCATGACTCTTTTTTGGGAGATAATTTTCCCCATTCTCCCTGTCCTTTCCCCATTCTCCCATGCATTAGTTTTTTTAATATCTTATCATAGTCAACTCACACCTGTGTCCTTTGTCTATGTATACTCCTTCTAACTAATAATGAAAAAGTTCTTAGGAGTTACAAGTATCATCATACTATATAGGAATGTAAATAATTTAACCTTACTGAATCCCTTATGATTTTGCTTTTCTGTTTACCTTTTTATACTTCCCTTGAGTCTTTTATTTGAAAGACAAATTTTCTACTAAGTTCTGGCCTTTTCATCAGGAATGTTTGAAAGTCTTTCATTTCACTGAATATCCATTTTCTTGCTGAAGGATTATACTCAGTTTTGCTGGGTAGGTGATTCTCAGTTGTAATCCTAGCCCCTTTACCTTCCAGAATATCATATTTCAAACTCTCTGATCCCTTAATGTAGAAGCTACTAAATCTTATGTTATCCTGACTATGGCTCCACAATATTTGAATTGTTTCTTTCTGGTTGCTTGTGATATTTTCTCCTTGACCTGGGAGCTCTGGAATTTCGCTGTAATATTCCTGAAAGTTTTCATCTGGGAATCTCTTTCAGGAGGTGATTGGTGGATTCTTTCCATTTTTATTTTATCCTGTGATTGTAGGATACCAAGCAGTTTTTCTTGATAATTTATTGAAAGATGATGTCAAAGCTCTTTTTTTTATCATGGCTTTCAGGTAGTCTAATAGCACTTAAGTCATCTCTCCTGAATCTATTTTCCAGATAGTTGTTTCACATTTTCTTCTATCTTTTCCCTCTTTTGATTTTGTTTTATTATTTCTTGATGTCTCATGGAGACATGAGCTTCCATTTGTCCAATTCCAATTTTTTTTTCTTTTTGGTGAGGCAGTCAGGGTTAAGTGACTTGCCCAGGGTCACAGCTAGTAAGCGTCAAGTGTCTGAGGCCCGATTTGAACTCAGGTCCTTCTGACTCCAAGGTCAGAGCTCTATCCACTGCACCTCCTAGCTGCCCCTTCAATTCCAATTTTTAAGAAACTATTTTCTTCAGTGAGCTTTTTTGCCTCTTTTTCCATTTGGCCAATTCTGTTTTTCAAGGAGTTCTTCTATGCAGTGGATTTTTGTGCCTCTTTTACCATTGGCAAATTCTGTTTTTTAAGGTATCATTTTATTAAGCAATTTTTGTGCCTCTTTTACTACATTGTTAATTCTCTTCTCATAATTTTCTTGCATTACTCTCATTTCTCTTTCCAATTTTTCCTCTGCCTCTTGTATTTGATTTTTAAAATCCTTTTTGATCTCTTTAAGGAATTTTTCTTGGGCTTGTTTCCAATTTACATTTTTCTTTGAGGTTTTGCTTGTAGCTACTTTGACATTACTGTCTTTTTCTGACTTTGTATCTTGATTTTCCCTATCACCACAGTAACTTTTTTATGATCAAGTTCTTTCTTGTTATTGTTGTTTGCTCATTTTTCCATCCTGTTTCTCGACTTTTAACTTTATGTTAAAGTTGTGCTCTGCCCTTAGGGTGGAGAGGGCACTGTTCCAAGCTTCAAGTTTTTTGCGATACGCTTTCAGAGCCAGTTCTGGGGGTCTGTAAGTTCTGGTGCTCCTGTGGTGATACGACCTAAGGAGAGCTGTGGTCACTGCTCTCCTAGTCTGTCCTCTAGTCTTTATCTAGGAAGGAACCTTATTCTCATGCGGCCACAAGCACAGTGCTCCTTTTTGCATTACAACTGAGACCAGAGCCCCTGCTCCCTTGTGAGCAACCACAAGCACCGTTCTGTGCCCTGGAACTGTGACTACGGCCCCTGTTCCTCTGAGGCAGCAAGTGCTACTTCTCCTAACCCTAGGACTGGAACCCACAACAGTGTTTGGGTAATACGATAGGATCTTGAACCCAGCACCAGCAACAGGTCCCCTGCAATCTCTTTCGGACCAGTTGTCTGACTCCCTTACTGTTTGTGGGCTGAGAGCTCCCAAAGCTATTGCTGTCACTGATACAACTGCCTCCAAGACCTACTTTTGGCATTGCCAGTCATGCATGACTCGGGCTATGTTCAGGTTCTGAACACTAGTTATCTTGCGCTGGAAAACTGTTTCACCCTGACCTTTTGTTGGTTCTTCCACTTCAGAAATCAACTTGAGGCATAATTTCACAGTTATCTGGAGGGGAATTTGGGAGAGTTCAGGTGAGTTCCTGCCTCTGCTCTACCATCTTGACTCTACTCCCTACTAAATTTCTAATATACTAATATATACCCAAAGAATATTTTGGTTCTCTTTGTATCTAGTTCCCATAATCCTAAATATTCTTTGTATCACACCTTACAACCAATCAGATATTTGCTGCTGTAGGTTCTTTCCAAATTTTATTTTTGAGAGTTCTCAATAGCTTTAAACTTAAATGACACCTTTCAAGCTGCATAGAATTTCAAAATATATGAGTTGCAAATATTCATTGGATTTTGAAACTAAAGCAGGATACTCACTCTCATTCATGCAAGATGCATAAAGAATTTTGGCCTTCTGTATGGCTTCAGTGTCCCTTCTTCTGCTTATTGATTTTTCCAGAAGTGCTGTGAAGTATAAAAAAAAGTATTAAGTGCCCACCTGTGGATGGTACTATGCTGGATGCCTCATAATTCAAGGTAACAGTGATGATTCCTGAAGTCTAGAAATTTAACACTGCAGAACAGACAGTGAATAACAAAGAAAGACAGAGATGGGAGTGGCAGAGGAAGGGGGAAGGGAGGAGAGAAAAGAAAGACTCGTACACAGGGCGTGTTCTAAGCAAATTCTGCAGAGGAAAAAAAAATCTTTTTCTAGGCTTCTATTTCCATGTTCAAAGTTAATGAAAATCTTGGGTGCCAGTTGAGTCTAACTCTAAACTAGAATATTTATGTCTTCCGCCAACAATAGGAGAGTCAAGAATTTATTTGCTCAAATTAAAAAATTTAAAAATGAAAGGCAAAGTCTGACTTACGCCACTCTGCCCACATTTTCCCACTTAAATACCATACCTAGCTCAATTACAGGATGAGAAATGACATAGTGGAAAGAGCATTTGTGTGTGCAATCAGAGGGTCTAGGTTCACATCTCAGCTCCACCAATCATGATCTCTTAATTCCCAAATCTAAAGGTCTTCTTTTGGTCCTTATCCTTCTCTATCTACAGCATATGACATGTTTAATTATCTCCTTCGGGATACGCTGTCCTCTGAGTTTTAGTGACAGTACTCTCTTCTGATGAGCCTTTTACCTATCTGATCCCTTGTTCTTAATGTTCTTTATAATCTCATCATCCACATCACATCCCCTAACTTTGGGTTTTCCCTAAAGTTTTGTCCTAAGTCTTCTACATTTCCTCTCAATGACTTCGTCTGCTCCTATAGATTAATTACCATCTCTATGCCAGTGACTTTCTATGCACCCAGCCCCAGCCTCTTACCTGAGCTCCAGTCCAATTACCCATTGAATATTTCAAATGAAGTCCCAGATATATGGTTATCTCAACATATCTAAAACTAAGCTCAATATCTTTCTCCTATTTCAAACTTCCCTATTTCTATCAAAGGTACCATTTTATATCAATATCTATATCTGATATATAGTGGGGACTTAATAAATGTTTATTGATTGACCGAAGAATATTAGCTAGCTAATACTTGTTGCATAAACACCTAAGTAACAGAAATGCATGGACAGTTTTAAAAACAGGAAAAGAAAAGGGGAGAGGGAAGGGCACTGAACTTATTCCATTTATTATTTCTTTCTGTGGGCTATCACACAGCAATAAAACTAACGTCCGCCCAAAAAAAGGAAGGGGTGAAAGGAATGATAAAAATAAGATAAAATTGTAGCCACATAAACCAAATTTTGGTTATCTAACTTGGATTCTACCCTAAGTAAATGCCATCTTGCATTAATATGTCATTTTTAATTCTGGATCATGGGGAGAAATTCAAAGGAAAATGAAAGCTTTTAATCAGTTTCTAAATAGATGGTGAATCCTAACAAGTTCTAGGAACTAGGAGGCGGCAGAGAGAAGCTATGAACATATTATTCTGACACTTAAATAGGTTGAATGAATTACCTAGGTCACTTCACTATCAATATGGCAGAGGCAGAACCCAAAGCCAGACCTCCTGATTGCAAATCCAAGAATCTATACACTACCCATAATCTCTTCAACAGAAGACTCATAATTCTTCATCTAAATGACCTTCCTAAACTATCTTGTATTGAACTACTTTGTTTATATTTGTATTTATTCACTTTTCATATATATATATATATATATATATATATATATATATATGTATATGACAACAAATATGTGGTGTGTATTTACGTGTATATATAATGGATAATATGTGTATATACATATATGTGTACATAAAACATATACATGTATGACATACATGTGTATATTGTGTATGTGCATCCCCTCCCTACCCCACTCCTCACTTATGCCTGTAGCATGCAGAATGTTTGCATTACCTGAGCAATATCAAATATCTAAATGAAATTGGGACTATCTACCTCTGCATGTTTTTCCACAGCAATTTAAGAACTGTAACATGCAGGCATATATGTATATATTTGTGTGTGTGTATATCTACATGTATATATAGACATAGATACTTGTCTTTGTTAGAATGTAAGGCCCTTGAAAGCAGGGATTGTTTCATTTGTTGTACTTGTATACCCCAAGCTTAGCATAGTACCTCACACATAGTAGGTGCTTAATAAATACTTGTTGATAGATCTGTTGAACTACATGTAAATCTATCTGGGACATGAGACTTGTTTGGTCACAAAAAAGAGAGGTTAGAAAGCTTAACTAACTTGACCTGCTTTAAAAATTAATACATTAAAGGACTGTTTAAGCCATAGATAGCTGCATAAACAAGATAGCTAGCATGCAACTATTTTGAAGTTGCTTTTGAAATGAATCCCTAATGTAAAAGCACTGATGTCTTTTAAAGAGAATAAACTAATTAGCCTTTCAGTGCTTTTATGAACTAAGAAGGCTTGGATTGGGGGGAGTGCTTTAAATGCATTTAAATGTAGCAGTCTGCCATAATGAATGAGATAAAGATTCCCAATTTTACTGGGAAATCACAGCAATTTCCACATCCTAACTACAGAGAAACTCTATTTTTAATGGATACTGCCTATCAATTTGAAAACAACCTTGTCTCCTACAAAACCAAAGTATAACGTTCCTACTGTACCCTGGATAGCCCTGAGACCCACTGTACAGAGGTAATCAGATTAATAAATAATTACATATTCTCTGAAGAGAATCCTACCCTTAATCTAGAGATCGTGCCTTTCAAAAATCTGTAGCCAAGAGCCTGTGTCTTGTTGCATAAACACCTAAGTAACAGAAATGCATGGAGAGTTTTAAAAATAGGAAAAGAAAAGGGGAAAGGGAAGGGCATTTATTTATTTATTCCATTTACTATTTCTTTCTGTGGGTTATCACACAGCAATAAAACTAATGTCCCCCCCAAAAAGGAGGGGGTGAAAGAATGATAAAAATAAAATTGTAGCCACATAAAATTCTGTTAAAATCTCTTCATTTGCCTTTTCACTCTATCATTTCAATGCAAATGAGATGAACCTGCTGCTGTCTTTAAATTGCTAGGGAAGGTAGATATTCCCAATTTCATTTAGGTATTTGATATTGTTCAGGTACTGCAAATATTCTGCGTGCTATATACATCAGTGAGGAGAGGGGCAGAGAGGGGAGAGAGAAGCCAGAGATTAAGGAAAATTTAAAATACTAAGTATTTACATAGGTGTGTGCCCAAGGTAAGCTGTATGTATGCGGGGCTGGGGAGGGGAAGAGATGGGGAGAATTCATGAAGATGATAAACAGTTCTATTCCAATGCAGAAACCACAGACCTAATTTGCTCTGCTAAGAGAACTGACTTTTTTTTGTATTTGTATACGTCAAAATTTTGCTGTTGTTTTGTTTTTAAAGCTGATTCAAATCCCAGTGTTCCTGTGGTGCCATCGTTCTCTTCTTTCCTCCCTTCCACATCAGTCCTCCCAAATATGCCCCCTCCCATCCTGAGAAGAGGTAGCATTTATATGCAGACCATGAGGCAGCAATCAGTGGGTAGCCACCATATTTATGCATCTGTGAATGTGAATTAGTGAGAAGAGAGAAAGAAATCTAGCCTGGGGATTCATTAATGAATGAGAAACAAAGCCTATCCCAGGCAGCTCCTCCTGTCATTAAAGTGTCCCTAAAGCTTTCTAAGTACAGTTCTACAGTACAGTTACCTTCCCACAAAACTTTTATTGTTTATTCAAAGGAACTTTCAAATATCACCCCCCACACACACACACCCATTCAAGTACCTTTTATCATGTTACCACAGAAACTGAAACCTCTGATTTATTCAGCCCTCTTGGCAGAACAAAGCTCAGGGTTTAAAATGTGCTCACAGTCATGAAACTTGTGCATTATAAATGCAAGCTTCAAACACCCACTACCCTTACCTAGAGAAAAATCATTTAAAAACAAAAGAAAAACAACCCAAAACATCACTATAGGCAACCCTGTGACAAATAAACCTAGTCTGCTGTTTTCATCACCCTTCCTTTACCTGTTCCTAATGGCAGAAAAAACAACAGAATTTCTTTAAAAGTGTGCTATATGCTAGCAGGGAACTAGAGGGCTCAGCAGATAGAGTGCCAGGCCTAGAGTCAGGAAGGCTCATATTCCTGAGTTCAAATCCAGCCTCAGATATTTACTAGCTGTGTGATCCTGGGCAAGTCACTTAATCCTGTTTGCCTCAGTTTCCTCAACTGTAAAATGAGCTGGAGAAGGAAATGGCAAACCATTCTAGTATCTTTGCCAAGAAAATCCCAAAGAGGGTCACAACAAGTCTGACATGACTGAACAACAAAACTACATGGTATGCTAAGGTGCTGGAGAATCCTGAGAGGTCTAGGTACCACACCACCACCTAGCCCCTATTTTACAGATGCAAAAACAGAGGCTAGGTGATTGTATTAGCCAAGGTCACATGGGAAGTAAGCATCGGAGCTAAAATTCATCCTTGGTCCTTTAACTCTATATCCAGTGCTCTTTTCACTATATCAAGCTACCTCTCCTGCCCTCAAATACCTTATGAGTTACAAAATAGTGGTCCTTGGGGGCAACTAGGTGGCACAGTGGATAGAGTACCTGCCCTGAAGTCAGGAGGACCTGAGTTCAGATCCGACCTCAGACCAAACACTTGACACTTACTAGCTGTGTGACCCTAGGCAAGTCACTTAACCCCAGTTGCCTAAAAAAAGAAAAAAAAAGGCAAAATGAGAAGGTTGCACTAGAGAACTTACCCCTCCGATAATAACAATAGTTAGATTTTACAAAGCCGAAGCTTTACCTTTACATATTTTACATATGCGTGGCCTCATTTGATCCTCACAATCAAGGCTATTATTATCCACATTTTACAGCTTAGGAAACTGAGGCTAAGAAGTTAGGTAACTTGCCCAGGGTCACATAGTTGGTAATTTTCTGAGGCAGGATTTTAATTCAAGCCACCCTGA